AAAAGGCCCGTGGATTTATTCTTGAAAAGGTATGTGACCATGATCAATGCTTTAGTGTACTAAGTTTTGTCCACCTTAGGGAATGCAAGGGCTCGAGACACAGGCAATTAAGAACAAAGTAGCGTTAAGAGCTTCCCTCACAGGATCGATCTTCATGGATTCTGTTCGCGTGTCCCATGATGCATTGTTACCTAAATCCAAGGGCTTGGGGTCACCGTTCTCTTGCTTGAACTCTGCTCGGTATGTTGTCATGTCATATCTTTCACATCCATCGTCATATTCATTAATCAGGTATGGTATTTCGTGGGGAGTCATGGGTGCTCTGGAGGATTGTGTCAATCGGACGAGGGCATATGCACTCGAACGGCATCAGTTCCAGCGTCCGTTGGCCTCATTCCAACTCGTCCAAAAGAAACTGGTTGATGCCCAGACCGAGGTGACTTTGGGACTCCTAGCCAGTCTTCAAGTCGGCCGGCTCAAGGAGGCCGGACAATATTCACCTGAGATGATAAGTATGATCAAGAGGAACAATTGCGGGAAAGCTTTGCAACACTCGAGGATTGTGCTGGATATTTTGGGTGGAAATGCTTGTGCTGACGAGTTGGTCTTTTGTTTACTTTTATGGTATTGCGCTGACGGAGAGCAGATATCATGTTGGAAGACATGTTGCCAATCTGCAGGTCACTAATACATATGAAGGTGAGTGACATATTACCTTTCTCTACTTAACTATGCTGACATCCTTGAAGGAACTTACGTGCGTATCATTCATAGACCCCTGATAGTTCGATGTGCAGCAATGGTGCTCATCGACTCTTTTATTCTAGGACATCCACACTTTGATACTGGGGAAAGCGATGACTGGGATACAAGCATTTTTCTAAACATGGACGCAAGGGTACTTCATGTACACATATCAACAAATGAAACCGGATTTTTCACTTCGTCTGATGTTGCTAATTGCCACGGTATCCAGTCAACCAGTACAACAAAACCAAGGGGATTCCCATCCAACCTTAGGCAGGCAGAGCGTGCAAAGTCTTGGCGAGTTTCGCTTCCCAGTATATTCGCCCGCTGTCTGTCACCGGTTCTTCCGACATCGGTAGGCTCTCACGTTATGAGATTTTTTGACTGTGCCATGTACATCATCTATGTAACGAGGTGCTCACGATTTCCAACGACAAAAGAAGGGTGACGATATAGGAGGGTCAACGATCGGAAAAACAGTTACGAGGTCTTGAGAAATGAAGAACCCTCCACGTTCGTGATGCGAACATGTGTTACACCCGTCATCAGGTCTGAATCCTTTTGGCCTCTTCTTCCGTATCGTGACTAGTGACAGGGACTCGAAAGCAAATGCTTACCTTTTGCCCTCGTGCCTTACTACAGTGTACTCGTGAGGTTTCTGTTTATCCTGAACAGAATGTCCGAATGACGAAAAGTGCGCAATAACTGGACGGCCTGGACCGTTTGATGGTATCTGGTGCGATTCATCACAAGACTTGAGTTTTTGATCAACTGATATCCAGCGGTCCTTTGGCGTTCGCTTAGCGTCTCGGTACTTCAATATTGGGGTACTCTCTGTTTCAAAATTGGAATAAGCTCTGTTGTGGACAATACCACGTGTTTCAGCTTCGTTTCTCGTGGTATGGCCAATCAGTCCAGACTTTGTCATAGCTAAGGGGTTCTGACTATTCGTGATCAGGCGGTTCGCATCAGAGACTTGCTATGGTACTACTGTTCCATGGAATGATGCACAAAAAGCGTCCAGGTACGACATATGCTGCATATGCCACTGGAATTTACTGGTCAATAGGCATTCTCGTCTCGGCGGCCGGCCATTGTTCAGGTGCCATCCGAAAAGTGCCATAAGCAGACGCAAGTTATGATCCTATATGGATCAACACGTACTTCAACATACAGTTGACGGCCGTGTCCGACAGAACGGTGATCTTGCCTACACCGTAATCCATTGCGAACTACGACTGGTTTTTTTTCAGTCTTGAAAAACAGTTCCAGGGCTATAAAATGCTTGGATTTTCGCATATATCATCATTACCACTCCCGCTCCAGTCTCTCAGTTTCCTCAGCCCCCAGCTACTAAATTCAACCAAATTTGCTAAACATGTCTTCTTCGCAAAGTTCTCCAGTCTTAGGTCTCAACAAGGGTCTCCTTGTTCTTGACACGTCTGCGAATGCTGCGCGCGCGCCACGAAACAGACAGCGCGTACTCGTTGTCGGTGGTGGCGTAACCGGTCTAACGTGGGTGCATTGTCCTGCTAATATCGTCAAGCTCATCCATACATTTATAGGACTTCATGGATCCTGCTCGATGCAGGATACGATGTTACAGTCGTGTCAGAGCAGTGGGCTCCAGCGACACCTCGTATCACGTCTCAGATCGGTAAGTATCTCCCATTTGAAGCTGCATTTTGGCACTGACCAGAATTTCTCTTTCAGCCGGAGCATTGTAGGTGTATGCGTACATCATCTAAAGCTCAAAACTAATATGCGTCAACCAGATGGGAATACCCTCCAGCCGTCTGTGGTAAGCCTGCATCACTTTATTTTAAAGGACCTCGCTTAACCACAATGTGCACAGGCCAGCACACCGACGCGGGCTCCTTGGCCCTGTCCAAAGGATGGTCACTGACATCCTACCGCATCTTCGACCAGCTAAGCAAATCCTTGCCCGCCATCAAGATGCGCACCGCCAACTTCTTCTTCGGAAAGCCAATCGAGGACCTCCCAGACCAATTAAGCAAGATGCGCGAGATAGAAGCGTCTTGTGTCCAAGGATTTGTTCGAGACCCCGACTTGATTGCGAAGCACGCAGTGAACCAGAATGCTGGAGTTGTCGATGCTTACTCGCATCTGGCTCCCGTCATTGACACAGACGCGTATATGGCGAGTTCACTCTGTACTCAACTTTCATCAGTTATATTGATCCTGATTATTAGGTCTGGCTTCATGAGCTGGTCGAAGCAAAGGGCGCGGAGCTAATAACGCGCCGCATTGAAGGTGACCTCTTAGATTCCGAGGCTAAGCTCCTTGAGGCCTACGGTGCAGTTGCAATAGTCAATGCTACCGGTCTCAATTCATTCGAAGCTGCGGGAGACAAGTCTTGTTACCCTCTACGTGGTGGCCTGATCCGGCTTGTCAATGACGGGAAACGGTTCCCCAAAGTCACCGAGGCCCTAGCTGTCACGCACGACAATGAATTGAGCTCCGAGCACGAAGACATCGTCTTCATAGTTCCCCGTAATGACAATGTGTGTTCATCCAACCTCCCTTTCAGTTCCCCTCGATTTACGCTCCTTTTAGATTCTTATCCTCGGTGGTATCGCTCAACCACACAAATGGGAGCTCAATTTCACGATGGAATCGCCTGAGATCCAGCGGATGCGTGAGCGATGCAACAAATTGTACGTGCTCCATAATATACGAATATTTCCGGTCCGCTAATGACGGCGCTGTTAGTGTTCCGGGACTCGAGAATGCAGAGTTCGACCCAGTAGCGCCTGTCGTCCAAGGACTTCGACCGACACGTGTAGGAAATGTGCGCGTGGGACGGGAGCTACGACCGAATAGGATGCACGGTGGATCCAGCACCATTGTTCATTCTTATGGGCAAGGAGGCTCTGGTTTTTCGTTCTCTATTGGATGTGCGGTGGATGTTCTTCGTCTAATTGACCAAGTGGTACTCGAAAAGAGAACAGGGAACTTCAATGTGGAAATTTATCGTGCTAACTTGTAGATTGACTAATGATATATATGATTCCTCTGTACCAGTACTGTTTGTATCTTCCATAATCTCATTGTTTCCCCAGCTTCAGCTCGTTTTTCCATGCAGAGTGGCCGCATATTCTCAGTTACCCCACCCCAAGTTCCAAGACGAGGAGGCTTCTATCTCATTCTTCAGCCCGACATCAGAAATGCTCTGTTACTGGATTTCGGCAAGTCGATCACATAGACTAACCCAAGGTTCATTGGCGATCGGCGAAGATCATTGACACCACCGTGAAGGACCGGTTTTGACGCGCTAGTGGTGGACTAACTCGGAAACGGTATTATCTAGCAAGAAGCTCACTCAACGGGTTTACCGTCAACTCGCACTTTGCTCATATATAAATGTTTTTCATAGCCGTACGAAGCGACACCCGTTAGCTCTGTATTCAACCATGGTCAAGTGAACGATGTCATTGATGGGAGGGAGCGCGGCAAGATAACCCTGTTTGCAAACTCGTACACGTATTGCCGTTTTGCTGATGAGGGCTCATCATAATGGTTGATGTCGACAACAGTATGATACTTTCGGAGTACGTATAGGACCTATGCTGGGCCGGTCGTGGTTAACACTGAAGAACAATTCAACGCAGGTACCATTTCACACCGTCAAATGGGAAATACTCAAAGTCCTCGCTGTTCAATGACAATCATGTGCAAAGCTGCCTACATAGAGTACTTCAATGATATCTGAGAACTTCGTCGAACTAGCAGTTGAGTGAGCCCGTTCTCATGCACGCCTACGGAAAGGGCATCGGAGCGATAACACCGTCATCCTTAGCCTTTCGTTTTACGTAGAACGTATCCCACTCCACCTAGCCTTTCCCGCTTACTGGGTGTAGAGGTGATGACAGTCTTGTTGCACATGGCTGTCGCTCGCTTATCGAGCATGAGAAGGACGTCCAATGGAGGCTTTCGACTCTACACGCACGGGGTTTAGTATTCAGAGAGACTATATGTGCATGAAGGAGGGAAGGAACATAGATGAAATGTCGGCATCGAGGCCTGACGGTGATGATAGATCTTCGAAGCGCATAACAGCGCGGCAGGTGTCCGTAACGCAGTAATCTCATACATGTATATAGTTGGCAGGAATGGAGGCAAGAACGATAGGCTGGGGTCACAACGATGAGTCGCACTGGTTTTCATAAGTAGACAGCCAACGACAAAAGGTCAATTGTCACCCAGAAAAGGTTACAATTCGGCAGAGGCACGGCAAAGTGGCCGAGTGGTCCAAGGCGCTGGAATTAGGTCATGTTTACAAAATCTCCTTAAAAAGGAAATACACGTGACATCCAGTCCTCCGGGGCGTGAGTTCGAACCTCACCTTTGTCATATAATTAGTTTTTTTTTTAAAGAATTATTCATAATTTTCTCAGCGGTGGCAAGGACTGCCGGGTGCCCCGCAACCAACTCACCTGATCCTTAGTATTCCTTTAGGTATGTATGCAAATCCTTGGGCGACACTACAGGAACGTCTGGAAAGGTACCGACTTGATACTGTAATTTTTTACTCGCACTATCACGTGAAATATTCCAGTCCCCCTTCTCTGTTCATATGTCCATATGCAACATTGACCACTCGTTCTGGAACCTCGTACAATGCAGCTACCACCTCCACGTCCAATCTGTACACATAAAGTTCAGGGTACACAGAAGAAAAGATTAACGCCACATGTAGACACATGAGGTGAAGCAGAATCCAGACTCGTCTCGTGCGTTGAAATAACGTATCAAATTATCCATATGTAGTTGGTCTGAGAGGCACACAAAAGACCTGTGGCGGGCTGCCGTGCGTCCGTATATATTCGCGACTTCGACTCCTATCGATGCTCCACTAAATCACCCTTTAGTCGACCATATCACACCCATCGTTTGCAGGTACGTTGCCTCAAGTTTTTTCTATTTTACTCAAATGCTTGTTGTTAACTTTGGAAGATCGTTAGAGGTTGGAAGTGAAAATGCCGATACGCACCTTCCCTGGAGTGCCCATCGACATCCTCAGACAGATATTCGAGTTTGCGTCTGCCTCATCTGTTGCAACTGGATTGAGTTTAACCCTGGTGTCGACTCACGTTCGACACTGGACACTCCCCATTGTCTACAGAAACGTCGTTCTATCATCGTCGCGCGCCGTAACACTTTTCCTTGAAACTATAACCTCCTCCGCAGCCCCCCGTCTTGCGCCCGTAGTACCGCTCTGCAATCGAGTGAAGAACCTCGGAATCTTCGCTTTGGGACCCCTGCCTTCTATCGAGAAAGTCATTTCTATGTGTGACAACGTAGAAAGTCTTGCATGCGGATTTTCGCTCCATACTTATCTGCTTTCACACCACCATACTTTGCTCTCTCATGTTGCTTATGAGAAGCACTTTCTTGGTCCTTCATGCCGAGATGGCATACCCTTCCACCTTATTTCTCCCCAAACCACTCACATCCACGTGCAGCTATCTCTCGAAGATTTCCATTTTATTGCGGAAATTCATAACTACGTTTCCGCAATCACGCACCTAGCTGTCAGCATCCCTCTAAACCCCGAGAGATCCGTCGAAATCATCGATTCGACCATTTCTGCACTGCTCGACGGCAGAAATGTTTCCTTGGAAGTCCTTCTTATCCAAGTGATGGGCTCCAAAGGTTCTGAAATTGCGGAAGACATCAATGCCCGAAATAAAGCGAGGATTCAGCTGGCTGGTGACCGGGACGGCTTCCGTTTGCTTGCAATCCGCGCACCTGCATCAGTCGTCCAACAGTGGGGGAAATCGGCCATGTCCTCTGTAGATTTATGGGTAAATGCGGAAAGCGAAGCTAATCAGAAGAGGAGACGAAGCCCCGAGTCGCGATGTGACCTAGGTAACTATTAAATTGGCTTGGCCGTTCTTCATCCACTCGATGTTACCACCTCAGCCAACGCTGACCAAAAATCCGAAAAATTTAGGACACAGCGCGCCTTAGGCTCAACAACTGGTAGCAAGTCAACTTGGCGGCGGGTTTCATAGGCGGTCCACTCGTGACAGCTGGAAGTCAAACACTTTCACATGTACATTTATTTCCATCACTACACTTCTTCAATTTCTCCAGCTTCCTTTGCTTTCATCCATACACCGCCCTTGAGAAAGAGAATCAGTCACTTGCAAAGAAACCAGTCCAAAAATTGACGTACGCCCGCATAGAACGTAAGAGTCAACTTGGGGGAGAACTTTCCTCCCATACTTTCATCCAGCTCAAAGCCCTCAAATACCTGCAGTAGCCGGACGATGATAAACGACATCTCGTTATAAGCAAATTGCTGGCCCAAGCATATCCTAGGACCAGCATTGAAGGGCAAGAAGATCCATGGGTTCTTTGTTATGCGGTGGTGTCGCTCGTCAATAAACCGTAGCGGGTCGAATTGGTCAGCTGTAGTAAACCGGAAAATTAGACGAGAACGGGACAGGAGAGTAAAGGAGACTGGCCATCTGGACCCCAAAGATCCTTTCGTCTGTGCATGAGGAATACCGAGTATGGGATTCTGTAGGACTATTAAGGTGATGGAGATGATATGACGCAAGAAGCATTACGGGGTTCCTGCGGGGACGTAGATATCCTTCTCATCCGGATCATCAGACGGCAAAGTTGTCTCGTTAATTGACGTGCGAACGTTTACCGGACTATAGTGTTCACGTTAGCTCTTGTATCGAGTCAACTTGAAAGACATACACGGCGGGATACAACCTCATGGTCTCTATCCGTCAGTTTTAGTCAGCACTCAACAGATTGAATGGATAAGAACGTACCATTGATCACCGCTCTCAGATATTTCATCCCTTTGATATCTTCAAACGTAGGGCGCCGTACGGGACCCACCGAATTGATGATCTCCTCGCGAAGACGAGTGCACACGAGAGGGTTGGTACATAAAAAGTAGACCAGAGCGGACAGTGTCCACCCCGTAGTGTCGCGTCCAGCAATCAGTATATTTAGGCTACCGTCGTGTCAAGCTCAGGTGTCAAACAAAGAGAATTGGGCGTACATTTCATCCTTCAAAACCTTTGTATCTAGAGTAGTGACAGTTATTAAAATGTCACTGGGACTGGATTATATAACGCACCGCTGGTCTCACGGACGAGATGACTTAACAACGTATCTTTTTGAATGCCATCTGTCTCCCTAATTCTGTTCTTCTCCTCATTCCGCTGCTTCACTGCTTCATTTACGATTGGGCCTATGAACTGGTTGACAATGCTCATAGGTGCCGCCGTTTTGTCTTTGAAAATCTCAAATAATGGCCAGATCCAATTTTCGTCGCTGCGTTCATGCAGGATGTTAAGGGATGACAGAAAGGCGTCCGCAAAAACTTCCGAGTGAGTTTTCTTGTGAGGTTTGCTGAGATAAAGGGCTGAAGAAGGTGGGTGTGGAAGGACACCAGAGAGACTCTCGACTGATTTCCCGAAGAGGAATTCCGTCGCAGAATCAAGGGTGAAGCGTTGAATAAGGTCCTGAGTCCCTGTCAGTTTAATATTGAGACAACACTTGACTCTTACTTGAAAGTCCACTGCTACACCCATACGAAAGCGCTCTTTCATTTTGGCTACCACTGTCTGTGCATATTCGTCAAACAAGTCAAAATGCGAAATGCGATCGCGTGAGAAAAACGGGCGGGTCATTGTTCGATGAAATCTGGTGTGCTCCTATTCAGACTCTTTGCGAGGAACAGTGATGGAACATACTTCCACATCTTCCCGTCCGAATTGAATACTCCGGTCCCGAGCACAGACGACATGGTGTCTTGGAATATTTTCCCTTCACAATCAAAGTCGAGACTTGAACGGCTGATTAATAAGCCAAACTTACCTTTCTCGAAATTGTCAAAATTGGTGGCTAGGATACGCTGAATGTGTTTTGGGTCCGTAGTCACGATGTTCATGAGCCCCAGGACATCTACGTTGAATGTGGGCCCGTATTTCACGGCCAGTGCTGCCAAAGTATCGCATGGATGTTTGTCGTTTTGAGATCTTTGTATGATATCGATATTGAAAGGAAGACTCCCGTGCACCCGAGGAGCAAGACGTGCATTGAGAGAAGAGGCCCGGTGAGCGTAGTATCGATAGAGCAGGACAGGATAAAATGGCCAAAGAAGGGGAAGAAGGAGCAATGTCCATGATCGCAGCCAATAAGCGAGTAGAACGGCAGGGCCTAGCTTACAGGCAGAGCGAGCGATGAAATGGACTCCGGGTGTTATCATCGCCATGGAGAAGGGAATCTGTATCACTACGCGAGCTCTGAACTTCAGATCGCTAATAAAGCACCCACTGGTGTACGTGATTGAAAAGGCACAAACATGGTCATCTGTTGTGAACCAATTTAGTTATCCGCGGGACCACAGTTGGCCACGGGCCACGGATAGTGCGATGATCATTGATGACGCATACTTGCTAACGTTGAATTGAGTCCTCGGGACTTTCTTCACTTCACTGCTAGACATCTATGAAAGCATATCGGACTCACTATACATTCAATTTAAACCGTTGTAGGGGAGCATGTACTATGATATGAACGGCCTGCTCGAGACACGATAACACGTTGCCGGGTTTGGGAGTCACGTTCTGCGTGTGGGTCTTTTAGTAATGGTCTACGACACACAGAACACACGCCCTTTGAAGGAGTCCATCCACAATTCTGTTCTCGAGTCAACTCCGCCATACCCTGAAATAGATCCCGGTCTAGAAGATGCTTCGTGATGATAAGCATGTCTCCCTCGGACCGATATGACTCAAGCATGCCAGTCAGAATAGTACGAAACTCGGTGTACTGAGTGCCTTTGGATGATGGCATCTGGATTGCGGAATTTACTAGTCGTTTGAAGAGCCGGGGAAAGGACAACGCCCGGGTGGAACTTATGGATACAAGAGAAGTAAAGGTTTCTCGTATGACAGAGCGAAGTGTGTCCAATGTCTGCCGTTCGATGTTCATGATACGGTCTGCATGAGTATGTGAATCTGGGGTGAAGGAGGATAATGTTTCCCGTGAACAAGACGCGGAGACAGACTGGATGCAGTTAATCTGACTGCCAAGGAGTTGGAGCCAGATGTCCTCTAAAGATACATCCGGAGAGGTCGATAAAGAGCGATCTAAGCATACAGAGATGCCAGATCTTGCTAGATCTACCAGTCCGTCGACTGCCTTCTTGATAGCCGAATCTGCCTCGGTGGTCTCGGTGGTCTCGGTGGACCCAAACGCCTCAATGACTTGTATAGTAAGACGTTTTTCGAAAATATCCGCCTTGGTAAGGGCATCAAGGGGATGACCTTGTTGATTGAGAGCCCACACTGCTGCATTGTACACCTCTTTCTCTT